TTTTTGTAAAGTAAGAATCTATATTATATTTGACAAGCTTTGTTCAGTTCTTCGGGCACTTTTTTCTTATGTATATGTTGTATCTACCCATTCATTATCTATGTACATCGTATCTGTCTATTCATTATGCATATATATATGTCAGTCATATTCTATTTTTTTTATCTTTAACTTATTTATTCTATTACTAACTGACAACCAACTGTTTGGCCTTAACGGGACACAGATTAAGAAAAATAGATAATAGAATTAATAGTAATTATTGATTAACTTATTTGTTTTGTAACCAACTGACGACCAACTGTTTGGTCCGTACTGTACATAGATTAAGAAGTGTTGATCTTATTGGTAAAAAAAAATATTATAATCATTGCATGGATAGAAATAGCTGTCGGTTTATTACTAGGTGAAATTATATATCGTTCAGTTTTTAGTTAACGGTTAGATCTTTCTTATGTAAAAATTCCGAGACTTACTCAAGCAAAAAAAGAATTTTTGAAATCGATAGATTTGCTTATTTGGGATGAAGCTTCCATAGCACCAGGCACAACTTTAGAAATAGGTGATTTAATATTTCTAGATTTGATCGGTGTTAAAATATCGTTCGATGAAAAGGTTGTTGCATTAGGTGGTGACTTTCGACAAGCTCTGTCCGCTATTAGAGAAAGATCTCGATATGCCATTATTTTTTCAGCAATAAAAAAAAATCTTCTGTTTAACGTCTTTTTCAAACATTCAAATTAAAATGCAATATAGCAGCTATCACAGATCCTGGTTTTTCTAAATACTTTTTTAAATATCAGTGATGGGATGATACCTTTACTATCAACACCTAAAACTCTATTATCAGGTGAAGTTTCGATTTTCTTCATATGTAATGATATAGTTACCGATGTTTTTAGTAATGGTTTTGTCTTTATTGAAATTGAAAAATTTTTAAGACGTTCAATTCTCTGTTCAAAAAACGAAGATGTTCGATTAATTAATGAACGCGTTTTGATAAATTTAAAAAAAGACGTTGAACAAATGAGTTTTTACGCGATTGACTCAGTAGAAGTGATGATGGTGTAGAAAATCATGATTCACACGTCAACATTTCGGCGGAATTTCTAAATACTTTGAATGTATCTGGATTACCACCGTATCAATTTAATTTAAAAATAGGTTGTATAGTAATGCTTTTGAGAAATGTCTCAGTAAACGAAGGATTATGCCATGAAACTAAAATGATTGTTAGAGCCTTTAGTCAGAATGTTCTTCAGTTGGAAATTATTACTGGTCCATTGGTCATTTTTATACAGAATGTTCACGAACAACGAAATCTAATTGTTTCAAAATTCAAGCAAAAAGACACTACTAGATAGGACAAAACAGATAATGTTCTTAATTGGGAGATTTTTTCATGAATTTCATGTTTATTTTTGTAAGTTTATAACTGAAGCAATTTTTTTGGTATAATCTTAAGTGCAACTCTTCAAAAGAACCTCTAATAGCTTTATTATTTTTTTGTCATCACGCATTCTCCTTAGTTTCTCGTTGAACTCTTGGAAAGAACTAATGTTTGTCAGACATAACGCTAGTTTCTAACCTTGTTTCCGATTCGATTCCTTAAATTTTCACCAAGAACTGAACCACCAATAATCCATAGACGAGATGTCTTTGTGAGTACTTTTTAGGTGGAATTGCGTTTCTATAGCTCTTATTGTAAAGCGCGATACAGCTATAGTCATATTGAAAACAAAATTATCTAAAAAATGCTATCTTTTGTAGGATATTGCTACTTGAATCGCTTTTGTTTGTATTGTAACACTTGATAATAAAAACTAACATCGTCAAGTAGGGCAGTGTTCAATAGAATAGCTATTGCCTTTCGTTTGAATGAACTGGATCGGGCATCTTCACAGTGGTACTTGATAAAAACCGTTTTTATAAAATAAATAATGTACTTATAGACAATAATCTTTAGTTTCTCGCAATGTATTAGTTTCATTTGCAATCCTGCCAACCATTATGATCGTATCAGTACATCAGCTTGTATAGAATAGCGTGAGATATAGAAAGAACAGTGCATAATCAATAAGGAAAGAAAAAGAGAAAGAAAAAGAAGACAACAAATGTATGTCTATCACATGCCACGAAAAATACCACCATCAATACACTTTTAGCGTAGATATCTTATCGCATAGTCTTAACACATGAGAAAAAAAGTAAATGAATAAGAATATGTAATAAAACGACTCGTTGTATTCGGCACACAATAGCACCACGCAAAAAGACAGAGAAGAATATCCATTATTATATTCCTTGTTTGTTAAGTTACATAGTTACGTGCTTTCTCTTATCCCAGATTGAAAAGGTACGATAGTAAACGGTCCTATACGATGAAAAACGCCTAGAAACGGTCATCGCCTACAACGATCATATACAATGTTATACGTTCAAATACGAACAACATATACGTTGAAACATAAATAACTGTCGTGAACGAATGTAGTATACAATTGTATATGGTCGTAAGCTAGTCGTAAGTTGAGTTGCATGCGTCGAACATACTCAGGTCGAGAAATTGCATAGACAGTTACCATTAGACAATAAAATCCATAGCCTAGCAGTCTCAACAACTCATGCATAAGAAAACTTATTCTCTGTACTATTAATCAAGAACAATAGGAAATAAAAATTAAGATTTTCTATATAATAAATACAGAAAAATAAGAAATAGAAGTAGCTGTTTTTGTATATTATTAATATAGAAAGATGAACGATATAAATAAATGTTTTCTATACTATTCGTATAGAAAAAGAAAACAACTTAGGTACTCTGTCAGATCATACTTTCCAGGTACTGTTCTTCATAGGAAAGCTGATGGAACCACTTATTCTCGAATAAATGAAGAAAAAAAGAACAGACCATACACGATCAGATAATAACAGGCATTATCTAGATAATGTACCATGCATGTTGGACCTTATATGATCTGTTAAGACTTGACAAGAAAGATTCAATCTGTCCTTATAAGTGTCTTAATCTTTGAATCTTGTGAGATTGTTTGCTGACATTATATAAAAACAATTTGAGAATATCTTTAAAAAAATGAACATATAAGATATTGTTCAATATTATAACCAGATCATAGAAAAAAGAACCTTGCAAGGGTAAGACCTTATTGAATATTGCACGATCTAACATTTGGCTTTTTTTGAGAGTGCGAATATCAATGTAATCGTTGTATTAACCCACACCTCTTTGACTGATCATGATTTTTATTCAGTCTGTTCATACCAAGAGAAAATAGTTGTCGCTTGTTTTAAAAAAACATATAGTTTTTAACAGTATGATACAGATTTATTGTTTAACAATTTTTTTTTCTGACACTCAATTGACAGAAATTTAAAAAAATATATCCCTTATTGAAAACTATGTACTATGTTTTTTCTTCGATCAAGTATCTATTTATTGACATAGAGATAGTGTTCTTCAGTAATAATATCTGTAACAATAGCAGACATAGCTTGTTTATTTTGTACACATATACATATATATCTACATTCTTTTCCCATTAAGTACTCAATTCTTAACATAAGATAGGTATCTCGTACTTAATGTATATGAGCTTTGTCTTAAATAAAGTAGTCAGTTCATAGAAGTAGAAAGATAAATGTTTCTTGTTTTATATAGTCTGTTTTGATTTCATCTAATATTCAGCTATCGGGATAGAGAGATATTCAGATAGTACTATACTGTTTAGTCGTGATTGTCAATGAGTAATTCGTTCATGAAGTAGAGAGAGATATGTCTTATCCAATAGAAATTAGTTAGATGATATTCAATCTTCAGTTTTGAATGAATCTAAAATCGTTATTTTATCAATGTATTTTTGTTTTAATCTAGACTCGAGCGCATTGAGGTATGCTATGCATTAGATTAGATCTAATACTAATATTTCCATTGTATATTTAATTTTCTATTTTTAGATTAAATAAATTTTAGCTTTTATTTTTAAGATTATTAGAAAGGATAAATGACATAGTTTAGTATTAATTTAATTAAATGAAGATGTCCAATATGGCTGGAGGTGCAAATTCTTTATTTCTCATGCAGTGTTGATCATATATCGAAACAATATGCTGATATATCATCGAAGCTGCGTGAGAAAAAAAACTGAAGGCTCCAGCCACCCTGAACATCCGAACGATTAATTTTTCTTTGTTTTTTGAGAGTGAAACGGAGGGAAGGTAGAAAAAGTTTGAATGGAATAAGATAACAGTTGACATTGTATAGGACGATACACGATCGTAAACGACTGTCGTAATGCTCGTCCTGGGATTTGTAACATCAGAGCAGAGACAATGGATGTGAAAATTGTAGGAAAAGATCTACTCATAGTGTCTTTTCATTTCATCAGCTACAGATTCAGTTAAAATGCTTCATGAAATTTTAGAGAATCTCACACAGTGCAAGGATTTAGTATTATTTGCTCATTTTTTTAAATGAGAAACTTAAATTAAACTTTGTAATATAAGTATGCAGAGAATTGAAAGGAGAATGTTTCGAGACTAGGCACAAATTTTTATAATGAAATCTAGCCGAGAAAAATACGAAATACTAATTGTGATATTATTTATGGCCCACCCATGATGTGTCAATAATAAACTTTACAATAGATAGTTTAACACAACATTACTTGCCCTTTTCTTAACTAGAATCAACTGAAAATATAATATTTCAGAGAAATTTATCTCTTCTTCTTTTTCTATAAATGACTTCATTCATTTCAATCATATCAATCAATAAGTTATATATATATTTCGAGACGGAATTCAACGTGTAAGAAA